TTTAGCGACACTCATATATGCTTGAAAAATATGTTTTGTCGTAATCGAAACAAATCGCAGTAAACCATATACTTTTTTGCAACAACATTCACAAACTTTAGAAAGAGAGGCTGATTTATTAGGACAAGAAATTATGGCACGTGCAGGATATGATCCTGCGAAAGCTGTAGAATTATGGGAATTAATGGTGTCTTTAGAAGAAACAAGTAAGAATTCATTAGAACAACAACTTCAAATACCAAAGTCATCACATGATGAAGAAGGTCGTGGGATAAGGCATAGTAGCGATATTACATTTAGATACCATCCTTTAAAGGAACACAGAGTTAAATATTTGACTGAAAATTTATTACAAGTTCAACATTTATATGACAAAGCAGTCAAATTACAATAAAGATATACTATAAGCAATGTAAACTGGAAAAATTGAACTTATATAAGTCCAATTTCAATTTAAATTACTTGGACTTATAAAGGCGTCCAACACTTACTGTAACTTGTTACCAGGAGTAAATTTACTCTTATGCGTGTTGCTATATTTTGCTCATTGCTTTTTTCTTGCAATTTAATTACCTTAATTTTGTATACTATACTATAGTTTTAGTAGTTTTTAAAATTTTTAATTATTTATTTTTCGGTTCATGAAATCGATATTTTTTTTAATACAGTATTTGCGATCACAACAAAAACACATATTTTTTTACAAATTTAAAAAAAAATAATAATAATAATAAATCCAAAGAGAATGCTTAAGATCACTAATTTTCAAGACTCCCGTTGATTTGAACTACAATTTATATATCAATGAAAATGTATCTTTACAATATTTCTAATCATTATGACATACCGATACACAATATGCTGAAAGAATCAAAATTTTAAGAACGAAAGATGAAGAAATTTATTTTTCAAATTAATTAATTATATAATCAACAAAATCGTAATGTCAATTTAGTTTATTCACAATCTTTCTTGGAAAGAGCTATAAAAAAAATAAATAAGAAACACAGTGGGTTGATTGTGGCTAGAATTAGATTTGTTAGAATAGGGACGTGTAGATTCTGTGATTTGTTGTGATCAAAGAACATTACAAAAAGTATATGGTTTACTGCGATTTGTTTCGATTACGACAAAACATATTTTTCAAGCATATATGAGTGTCGCTAAA